CAAAAAAAGATAATGTGTTATCAGCCATTTACTACAAAGTCTTTCAGTAGGTCCTTCAGAGCAGTGTTTAAAATTGAACGGCAGAGGCATTTGGTCAGAATGCTTCCTCACTACGCTGGCTGTAGCACTATGTCTTTAGTCTCTCTCTCTGAACCAACTCTGGCCCAGGCCTCAAAAAACGCCTTACAATAAAGCTATCCTAGTCTTGCTGAGCCTGTATCTACTGAACTTAACACTGTAACAAACGAAAATGGAAACCAGCCACCTTCCATCCAAGTCACTGCAAATGTTAGTGTGAACCTATCTGCTGGTTGCTACACTGACAGAAGAGGGAGCTCTTGAACTGAACTCACAAATTGTCAAAAAATTGCCACCCAAGAGACAAAGGAAACAGAAGGCCTCATCCACAGAAAGCTATTGGATCATGGAAACTAAGAAAGCACCTGTAACCTCCAAAAACACATAGGGTATTCTAATATAATATTTCACATGGAATTAAATGTTCTCACACAAGTGTGTAAGAATATGGAAACATACTCTGAATAAGAAAAATTCAGAACCAAATGATTTCTTGAATGAGAAAGAGTTGACTAGACCCAGAAATCAAAAACAGAAAAAAATCTAAATAGATTATGAAGTGCCCAAAGAAATATAGTCATCTTGAAAAAGAAACTAAAAAAAAAAAAAAAAAAAAACAAAAAAACCCAGAAAACTGTCAAATAATTAAAGAGTAAAAAGAGAAAATAAAGTGAAAGATAATATGGTAGCATATATTATAGATTTCCTTAACAGAAATTAAAGAGTGGAACAAAAGTTACAATCCGTGAAAAAGCTCTAGAAACAGAAGCCAATTTCTGCATACTGAAATGGTTCATCAGACACCTCAGAAAGTGGACTTTAAATAATAAACTGAGAGCAGCTACCAACATAAAGGATGGCAAAGTAGGAAAGTCTCTAGGCTAAAAAAATCGTATCATTAGAGCTAAGGAAATGATAAGCTTTGCAAAAGGAATACACAACTCAATGGAGTTGTATTTTCCAGAAATTCACGGACACAAGTGTGACTTGTGGAAATCTTAACCAAGGAAAAAACCAGGAAATATTTTTTTTTAATTTTTATTTTTATTTTGCATTACAATTCAGTTCTACATATCAGCCACAGATTCCCTTGTTCTCCCCGCTCCGGCCCCCCTCACCTTTCCCCCAGCCCATCCCCCATTCCCACCTCCTCCAGGGCAAAGCCTCCCCCGCAGACTGAGATCAACCTGGTAGACTCAGTCCAGGTAGGTCCAGTCCCCTCCTCCCAGGCCGAGCCAAGCAATCCTGCATAGACCCCAGGTTTCAAATAGCCAACTCATGCAATGAGCACAGGACCCGGTCCCACTGCCTGGATGCCTCCCAAACAGATCAAGCCAATCAATTGTCTCACTCATTCAGAGGGCCTGATCCAGTTGGTGACCCCTCAGCCACTGGTTCATAGTTCATGTGTTTCCATTCGTTTGGCTATTTGTCCCTGTGCTTTATCCAACCTTGGTCTCAACAATTCTCGCTCATATAAACCCTCCTCATTCTCGCTAATTGGACTCCCAGAGATCCACCCAGGGCCTAGCCATGAATCTCTGCATCCAGATCCCTCAGTAGTTGGATGGGGTTTCTAGCACGACAATTAGGGTGTTTGGCCACCCCAAGAAAGACATGGGGATCGCCCAATGACAGATAAATGGAAGAGATCTACATGAACAGCCTGGACATGAGTGGGGGTAATGAAGGGCGAGGGTCGAGGGAAAGAGAGCTTGGGGGAGCGGGAGTTCCCAGCTGGATCAACAACAGAGAGGGAGAACAAGGAATAGAAATTTATATAATACACAGGGTGTAGGGTGTGGTGTTACACTCCTTTGATTCCAGCACTCAGGAGGCACAGGCAGGCAGATCTCTTAAGTTTGAGGCCAACCTGATGGACATAGTGAGTTCCAGGACAGTCTGGTTTACACAGTGAGACCTTATCTTAAAAAGGAGTGGGGTGTGAGTGGGAGGCCCTAGGTAGATGAGGCCAGCGTGTGTGTCCATGAAGACAACTGTAGAATACCAGTCCCTCCCCCCTTTACCTTCCCTGTAATGAGGTGAGGCAGTTTGCTTTACCACAAACACTCCCCACTGTAAGGGCACTGTCTGAACACAGTCACAAAAGCAAAGGAGCCAACTGATCAGGGACCTGAGCCTCCAAAATCAAAATTAGCCCTTTTATAGCTGATTATCTTGTGTGTTGACTATAGTAACAGAAAAACGACTAGTCAATAATCAGTAGATCCTGTGGACAGAGTCAAATCCTACAACTGAAAACAAAGGGTACAGAATATTCTCATATGCTCACAGGACAGTTCATAAAATTGATATATACTAAGTTATCAAAAATACCCTAAACATAAATAACTTCTATAGTTTTTGATATAGTAATCAACATTGTTTGGTCTAAATGCAAACACCCATAATTTACTAAAAGAAACAAAATCCAGGAAGGCCTTTCCATCTGCTCATTTAAAAGCATTTTAATTTGTTAGAGAATGAATTAAGCAGTACTTGTTCAAAATGACATTTTAGAACCCATAGGATGTAACAAAACAATGAAACTTTAGAAACCAAATTTTTTTTGAGACCACCTTCCTTGCAGACATCTAAAAGCATTTAAAAATCAATTTTACCGTATGTAGTTTTCCAGAAAAATATCAATCACTAAATTTACTCCATTAGAATTATGAAGCTTAATTAAATCAGTTTCTTTCCTAAGGAACTGCCCTCAACAATACACCAATAACAGACCTATAAACCTGTGTGGAAAGCGAAGATGTCACAGAGATAGTGTTCATGTGAACAACAGAAAAACAACTTTTGTCCTTGGACACAACTCAATATTATTAAGATTCAGTTCTTCCCAAGTTAATTTTTAAGCTTTTATAGGGTTTCAATGAAGTGAATATACACTGTTGAACAATGCTAGTACTTTTTACATCTAAAGGCTAATTAAACCAACAAAGTGGAAGCGGGGGACCAACATGGAATATAAGCAAACAGCAATTTAACTATTGTGAAGGGGTGAAAAAGAAATAATCCAAGTAACTTTTGAGAAAATTACTGTGACTCTATCCTCACATTAAAGTCAACTAAAAATGAGTCCTGAACTGTGATGGTTCCACGAACACTGAAATTTCATTCAGTGCATCCAAACACTCAAACAGTAAGACACTTCATTCTGAACAGGTTCTTACTCAGCACTACTTGCCCTTGAAAGGAACAAGGGTCTACTAGAGAAACTGCTAACCCAAGGGTGGAATGGAGAAATACAACATGAAGCTAGAATGTACCAGAAAGCAAAAAGCACTCAAGCCTGGTGGTAACAGAGTATATATAATTCATTAGATAAAACAAGAACTCCTAAGTCTATATTCACATAGAAATTATGAAGAAAGGCACTTTATTACAGAATTCTAACTAATAAATACTGAAGTAATAATTAAGAAAAATCACTACCTTCACAAGCTTGGCAGGAACCATTCCAACGAAATCATCACTGAATGCCAGAACTAGTATTTGGTAATTTAAGGAATTCTATTTCTCTGCAAAAATACTCTACTTTTTTGGAGATTGAACCCAGGGCCTTCTGTTATCTAGAAAGCACTCTAACTGCTGAGCACATGTCAGCCCATTATGAGGTAGGTGCTCACTGTTCAAAGGTGACTCTAACCAATCTCAGACAAGTGACCAAGTTCTCAATATCAGGAATAAGACACACTGACATAATATACTCCAAGTGTGACACACTGAGAAGACATAGCACTTTTTATTTTTGGTATTCCTCCTAAAACGTGTAACCTTAACCTAGTCATCAGGAAATATAAACCAACTCAAAGTGAGAAACATTTTATAAACTAATTGGACTTCACGCTTCAAAAAAAAATTAAGATTGGAGGAGACTAAGGCCTCCAGGAGTGGGGAGTGCCTGGAATACCAGCACTGGGAGTCATGAATTCCAGGTAAGCCCAAGTAACACACATGCATACATGACCAGCAACATGTGATCCAGGACTGGACTCTAGATACTGTTTGATATAAAATAAAAGACACCACAAAAGAACTGGCAGCCTATGAACTTCAGCTTAGATAACAGTACTGTGTGTCAATGGCACACAATATCCGACTTTGGTATCTGTACTACTGTAAGAGAGTATTATTCTAAGGAAATATTGGTGTACCTAGACACAAAGCAGCAGGGTGGCTTCTTTTACTCTCAAGTGGCTTAGAAAAAGTGTGTATGTATTTAGAGACAAATTATAATGAAAATATGTAAGGAAGCCAAGACAGTATTATGCTTATTTTCATTAATCTTTTAATTTTTCAGTAAATCTAGGATTATTTCAAGAAAACATTTTGCCAATTTAATTCACTTATGTATCACTTTGTATATATTATATACATATGATAAAAACAATTTAATAAAAATTAAAAATAAAGTCTAAATAAATTGAAAAGCATTCTTTCATCAGTAGAGAAATTCTAACTGGTAAAGAATTATCAGTTTATTTGGCAAGTTTTTTGCTGTTGTTCTTAGTATAAAGGAGCAATGTATCTTTCCATCAATTATTGTATGCTAAAAAACACAATATTAAAAACAATATCTAAAAATAAGTTTCCCCAGGCCAGAGAGCTAGCTTAGTGGTAAAGAGCACCTGCAGAGGCCCTGGGTTTGGTTCCCAGCAACAGAGGATCTGACACCCTCATCTGGTCTCCAGATCACCAGGAACTCATGTGGTGTATATAAAGGTAAACACTCATACATGTACAAACCATTTTTACAAGTTTACAAGGTTTAACTGAAAAGTGATTCACAAAAGGCAAAACAAAACAATTCAAAAGTCACAAACTTAAAACCTAGTCCAAGTCTATTTTCTCAGAATATAGTTCAGAAAGAAACCAACATTAGTGAATTACAAAATCATTATCAATACCTTGTGTTGCTAGAATAGTCCCACATGGCCACATCTAGGAGACTTCTAACCCAGGTCTTAGAGGGCTCCTTGAGGAATTTTTGCTGGTAGATTCCTACTACAAGGTCCTCTACAGTAAGAAGTTCTAGATCTTGCCTGATTTCTTCCATTAGTAAATAGAAAAATATAATTAGTGAATTTGGGCACACAGAACACACATGTCAAAATGAAAGCAGAGACTACACTTTCTGCATAACCTAGATTCTGCTCACCTGATGCCCGCTCCATACGCTTCAAACACCAGTTGACTCTGGCTCTATCATCAGACTGCAAAGGGAAAAATCATTACTTGCATTTTCTCCTTTTTTGAATTATTTTAATTAACACTGTCCTTTCAAATGTGGGTGTGTGTAGGAAAGACACACACTAATTGAAAATTATCTAAAAATAACACACATTAAAAAACATTACTGCTATGACTAACTGGATGGATATATATATATAGTTTATAAAAAGCAAGTGAGATTTGGGGTAGACCAATGATGAAGTCAATGTTCAGAGCATGTGATCTGGTCATGGTAGTATTTATAATATGCAACAAGTTTAGGACCCAATTCACTACTATTCTGGAGAATTTAAATAAAGCAAAAAGTCTTTTCAAAACATCAAAAAAAAAAAAAGAGGGTTAAGTGAATGAACATCCATGCATTGGGCTAAAAAGATACTGCAGGTATTTCAGGAGGAATTTGAAGAAAATACTATTGTTCAGCTTTTGTTGCCTCCAAAATTAGTAATTTAAAGGTCATACTACTTGCACAGAAATCAATTCAGAATGAACATGTTTTAAAACATATAACTAACACAAAACTGACATTCTTTTCAATTCTTCTGGTGTCTAATTGGCTATCTTAAAAAACTTCTTACTAGATATTACCTTGCAGTAAATAGGTGGCCAGTTCCCTGGGTTTGGATGGATAAATTTATAAAGGTTTTTTAACACAGTTGCTTGGTCATGCCCGAATTCAAAGTTTGAAATAGGAATCTTGTGACTAGAATCACCTGAGGGAAATAAAGAGGTAGAAGTTCAACCACTGAGCAAGGCAAGTATTATCAGCTTGGGAACAGGAATAAAAAGGAGAGCAGTGAGTAATTTACAATATGTGCTTGTACCAAGCCTGATTCTCATTCGGTACTTTACATACTTAAACCCAGAACCTTATGGAGGTGAGACATACATACATAAATTAAGAGGAGACTACAGAGAGTCCCCAGAAATTAACAGTTAATGAACAATGAAGTCATTATTGAACCTATGTTTCTTAATGACCAAGTCTACAGTGTTTGAATTGTTCCTGTGATGCCTTTCAAAAATGTTTTGTTAAATAAGGCTGGAGGGCTTCATAGTAGCAATGATTTTTTTTCGTGTGTGTGTGTGTGTGTGTGTGTGTGTGTGTGTGTGTGTGTGTGTGTATGTGTGTGTGTATGCATGTTTGCCTGAATGGGGGGGGTGCAAAAGCATGTGTATATATGTGCACATGGAGTCCTGAGTGCTATCAGGAATCATCCTTGATCTCTTTCATCTTATTCATTGCGGCAGGGTCTTCAATCAAACTCAGAGCTTACTGGTATGACTAGTCTCTGGGGATCTGTTGTCTCTGCCCGAGGCTGGAACTACAGGCACTAGGCATTTCGGTAGGTTCTGGATATCTGAACTCTGGCCTCATACTTGTTCAGCAAGCACTTTAACCAGTGAGTAAATTGTTCTGGCCTCCGTTTTCATTAAAAGAAATATTTCTCTCTCTCTCTCTCTCTGTGTGTGTGTGCGCGTGCATGCGTGTGTGTGCGCGCGCGCGTGTGTGTGTGTGTGTGTGTGTGTGTGTGTGTGTGTGTGTGTGCATGTGGAATTCAGAGGACAACCTCCAGGAGTTGATTCCTCACCATGTGGGTTCCAGGATTAAACTCAAGTATTCTGGCTTAGCAGCAAGTACCATTATCCCCCCAAACCATAGTGCTGGCCCATGACTGATTTTTAAAAATGAGAATGGGGCTAGAGAGATGGCTCAGTAGTTAGAAGCACTGGCTGCTTTTCCAGAGGACCCCGCTCTAATCTCATCATCCATACAGTGCCTAATAACCATTTGTAACTCCAGTTCCAGGGGACCCAGCCCCCTACTTCGGGCCTCAATGGATACCCATACACATTAAAAATAATAATCCTTTTTTTAAAAGACAATATGAAAAACTCCACACCTCCAGGAAATAAAAAGGACCAAGCAATTCAGATGAGCTCTCCCACAACAAAATAAGTGACCTTGAAGATATTGGCAGTACAAACATGTCCAGCAGTTAAAATTTACAGATACAGGAGCAGGAAGTTAGGAAATTTTAAAGGCTAGTTTTAGATCACTTGTCAATTCTAGAAGCAGCTAAATGGTTGAGCAAAGTGCTTTTAGAACCTATGATTACAATTTCTAAGTCTACTAAGTGCCTCAAAAAAGCAAATATACCTCTGTGACTAAGTTACTCTGAAATTCCCTCTTTTCAAACACTCTGAAAAAGCAGGTACAGAGACAGAAGGAGAACCAAAATGAAATTCACAGAAAGGTACCCAAAAGTTTCTTTGGTGTGGAAGTTACTAGGTACAGATTTAAAAAAAAAAAAAACTATGTTCACATTTGAACAAAATTCACATCAAATTATGAGTTTTGGCATAAAATTGCAAACTATAAAAAAGATGAAAAAGTTCAGCTTTGCATAATGATAGAGGAAAGCTCACTAAGCAGAATGTCTACTTCAAAGTGCTACAGAGAACAATGCAGTGAGGACTTAGGAGTCTGGAGTCTTGGAAAGGAATAAATACCGGAAAGCTGAGGGAGGAAAGATTTAAAGGCTCAGACAAAAGACAGAATTCTTAGCAGACTCATTAAAAATTTAAAATATTTTCTGTTACTACTATATAAATAAAATGTTAAGCATAGTGGTACATATTGTTAGTCTCAGCACTTGGGAAGTTAAGGCAGGAAGACCAGAAACTCAAGGGCATCTCTATACAGAGAGTCTGAGGCCAGACTGGGTTACAAGAGACCCTATATAAAAATATGAATCAAATCTATTTTCTGACTTCCACCATTTAATGCTACAAATTCTATGTATAATCATTTGGCGGTAATCTGTCTATCTCTCTTTTCATTAAAGAACTGAGATGGCTTAGTCCTTGTAAAGTTCAAAGCATAATTTAAATTACCTCAATCCTTGACCATGCGTTAAGGTAATCTTAGAAGCCTCATGACTCCAGTTTTCCACCAGACACAACCATAAACATTCTCTGGATAAGAATATGATAACTCACACACACACACACACACACACACACACACACACACAATGCATGGGAGGTGTGTATCTAATAAACATGATAACCAAGAAACTATGAAAACAGAGCAACAAAGATAATTGTAATAGGATTCCTGACACAAGACTGTAAAATAACTAGGCCTCTTTGTTCAAAGAAATACTTATTTATACTTTCTGCACACCCAGAAACCAAATTTAAAAGTAATGAAAACATATCACCCAACCCATTTTCCCTCATCTTTCATTATAGCAAATAACCTTGACAACCAAATCAGACAATGTCAACAGCAACATGAATGCACAGACCCTAAGACAATCACGAGCAAGCCAAACTCATCAATTAGGAGACTTATGGTTACCATGTTGAGTTTGTTCTAGAGTGCAAAAATAGTTTAACATTGGTAAATCACCATACAAATAAAATATTGGAGATTTCAAAAGAGCATCTTGATTAAAACATTCAACTGTCATCCATAATCAAGTTGGAAACAGAAGAAAGTTCTTCACTCTGATAAAGTGTGCATGGCAAAAATAAGGGCAGTCGGGGAAGAAGAAATCATAGCAAATAACCTGTTGGTGAAAAATTGGAAACTAGAGATCCAAGTCTGTAAGATGAATTGCTAAACAGTCTTATTAGTAAAAAACCCGAAGCCAGATATTGGGGTGAAAACTAAGAGATCAGAGGAACAGGACAAACCACAGCCAACCTCACCTTACCAACTCCTCAGCCTTCAGAGAGAGCTACTTCCTGTATACTCATGCCTATATCCTTTCTGTGCCCTACCATCTCACTTCCTCTCTCTGCCCAGCTACATCACTTCTTCTTTCTGCCCAGCTCTATCACTTCCTGTCTGTCTGTACAGACTTCCAGACCTCTATGGTTAACTAGTGCTGGGAATTAAAGGCATGTGCCACCACACCTGGCTCTGTTCCCAGTGTGGCCTTGAATTTGCAGAGATCTGGATGAACCCCTGCCTCCTGAATGCTAGGATTAAAAGCGTGTGGTACCATTGCCTAACTTCATTGTTTAATATAGTGGCTGACTTTTTCCTCTGATCTCCATGCAAGCTTTATTTAGTAGAGCACAAATAAAATATCACCACACAAGCCTTCATACAACACAAACCAAGTAAACAACCAGAAGACACAATTCAAAACAGTACTTACAAGACAACAAAAAGGTAGCATGGTGATGTAGACACTCAGGAGGCAGAGGCACGAGGACTGCCCCAAATATGATGAAAGCCTGTTCTAAATAAGAAACTCTAGGCCAGCCAAGGTGATATCCCCATCTCAAAAAATAAAATAAAATGACAAAAGCTATTAAGATCCTTAACAATAACTTTATTAAAGAAAGTATAGACCTGAAGAAACAAGATGTTCCATGTTCACAGATGGAAAGGCAACATTATGAAGGTTATCTATTTTCTCCAAAACAACCTAAATATTTACAGGTGATCCCAAATCTATCAACAAGGTTTTTTTGGTAAAGTATGAAAAATTGATTCCAAATTGTGGGTGAAAATTGGGGTCAAAAATAGCTATGATACTACAGAACAAGATCAGGGGAGCTTTCTAAAGATTTTCAAACTATTATGCTTAATTAAGAATATGATAGTCAAGCCACCCTCACCACCCCCCCAAAAAAAAACCAAAACCAAAATCCTAGTAGACTAATAAAGAAACCAAGTAGAAGTATGATCTGACCTAACAGATAGTACATATCAGGGAAAAACAGGTTATTCAATGAATGATGCCAAGACAACTGGCTGTCTTCAGGAGAAAACAATGAAATTAAATTGTCATCTCACAGCATACACAAGTCAATTCCAGCTGGAATAAGCACCGGATACAAAAAAATAAACTTCACAAATTTTAGAAGAAAACAGGAGACTCCCCTTCAGGTAGCAAAGAGCTCTTAAGACACAAAGATTCACAGTTTTAAAAAAAAATTGTCTGACTTGCTAAACGAAAGCCCATCACTTGTGCTTATTAAAAGGCCCCACACAGGGCTAGAGATGTAGCTCAGTATATTACAGAACCAATAGAGTACTTGCTTGGCATGCACAAGACCTAGGGTTCAGTACCCAGTATTCAAACTTAAGAGACTTCATATAGAGTGAACAACCCAAGACTCAAGCTGAGAGAAGCCATTTTCACATAATGTAAGAATTAAGTTCTATAATAAACACATATAATGTAAGAAAAATAAGTAGAAAATGAGTAAAAGATAATGTACTTAAAATATAAATACATGTGTATAAAATCAAAAAACTTAACATATACATAGTAAAATTATTCAGAAAAGATAATGACTAACACAAAATTCAGAACCCTTCTCTGATACAGAACCGGGGAGGGGAGGGGAGGGGAAGGGAAGGGAAGGGAAGGGAAGGGAGGGGAGGGGAGGGGAAGGGGAGGAAGAGGAGAGAGGGAGGAGGAGAGGGGGAGAGAGAGAGAGAGAGGGAGGGAGGAAGGGAGTGGGAGGGAGGGGGAGGGAGAGACCGCCAGTGGTGCTGGTGATGTGCTGTTTTCAGCTGACTGACTGGTGGGTATACTGCTGTTCATTAATATTCTACGGAGGAGTAAGTTAGTGCTACAGTCTTTGTATTTAATACATTTGAAAAGCCAATGGACCTTTCATATAGAAAGCTGCAATCAGGATTCAAAGCTTTGCTTCTTTTAAAGCAGAACTTCTCCAAAGAAAAACCATTAACCAGTGGAATGAACAGAAGTCGAGCTCTTCTGGCTCAAGTGAGGAAGGAGAGTCAAGACCTCTTAGTCCCAAAGCTTACACAGAAGCTGAAGCACCTCTTTGTGGGAAAGGAGTCGCCACCGGATTCCATAATAAAATGTCTTCCAATCCTGAAATTCTTCACTACTCTAACATGATAAATAATAATGCCCACCCATGAAGCAGTCACTTGATTTCACAGTACCTGAAACATCATGCAGCACAATGTCTTTGAGAGGTATTTATTTACTTAGGGAGGAGGTACATGGGGTCCTGGGGACCGAACTCAGGCCATCAGGGTTGGTGGCAAGCACTTTTACCCAGTGAGCCATGTCACTAGCTCTGAGAAATCTATGTGCACATCCGCTGGCTACTGCTTCAACAGAGCAAATCGATATGTCAATTTGGCTTGGTACATTAGTCTACGAACCCTGGTCTTCTCCAAATCAGTGCAATTACATCAGCACGGGCATTTTTAGGTATTATGTCAACACAGCTGTCACTCTACCCATCATTTATCTTATTTAATTGGCAGATTTCCCAGAGTTATTTAATTGGCAACTTAAGACATGCTTAAATTGGCAAGCTCCAAACATTTTAAGTTTGTCTGAATGGGAAACACTATCCTGTTTCAATTAGCTGGAATAATAAATTAAGAAGTCCTTCCCAGCTGTGGATGCAGCTCAACAGGAGGGCCTTTGCCTAGCTGAACAAGGACTTGCCTAGGTTTGATCCTCAGCATGAGACAAAAGAAATGTTTCTGGCCTATAGTAAGATATAGATAGGATAAGACAGCTTCTAAGGAAGGAAGGATACTTTGTGTTCATTTCTTCAATGAGAAAATACTGCAAAAACATGCAATAAAATATTTAAAAGTTTTATCAGCATCAAGCTAGCAAAGAAATGGTAAGCCAGTGACACTCAACGAGTGAGTGACACACAGCAGGAAGACAATGCATTCGCTCAAATGATGAACCAACCAAAACCATCTCTTCAAGTGCAAACATGAAAATTAAATCAGAAACTAGGTTTCATAAAATTTGTGTTGGGGATTTTTTGTTTGTTGAGTTTTGAGAAAGTCTTGCCCTGTGGCACAGTCTGGCAATGAACTCTATAGCCCATGATACAAACTGTGGCTGATTCTTCTGCCTTAAGTCTTCCAAACTCTAGAATTAGAAGCACAAGCTACTGTACCTGGCTCCATTTCTGGTTCTTAAAAGATTTACCCTCTGATCTGCACACGTGCATGGTGCATCATAAAAGTTACATATGCCTGATACAGTAGACCTGACAAACATTTCTAATCCTTCTAATAGGCTAGTTGGCCACATTTTTAAGTTAAATTGTACATGCAGGAATTAACTGGTCCCTTAAGCAATATACTGAATTAATCTCAATTTAATATAAAACTATCATGATTTTCACTTTAATCAAATAGGAAACTTCTGAAAATTCTTTCTGTAAGAGTTTAGCTCCAATCTTAGGTAAATTTAGTCATAGTCAAGTTTTTTGGTTACAAAATACTTAAAAGCCTGATTTCCTCACCCCAAACTCAAAACTGTTCCACTCTGAACTCATTTTTGAAGCATAAATTCTAAAAAAATTTTTTAAAATAGACATTGCTCATAAATGGGTACAAGTTTAGAGAATCTGAAACTTCCCATGATTTTCCATAGTGCCTGGCCACTATACCAACAGCTGACCTTAGAACTCCATGGATATGTAGCAATAAGAAAATAAAATCTTACTTCCTTAGAATGTAAAGAGTTCATACATACACACAAGTCAGTCAAGTTTTAAAAGTTTGGGGTTGGGGGTCCACTCTGTGGCAGGCAGAGTGGCTACCTAGCATGTGTGAGGCCCCAGTTTACCCCCAGTAGCAGGAGTGTGCATGTGTAGGTCTAAGTTTGTTTAAAGATCATTCCACCTGCCATTCCCTGCAGCTTACATCTTCTAAGTTAAAAGAGTTAGTCTTAATGGGGCTGCACACACTCAGTCCCTCTTATCCCAATTCCTTTATACTTACTTGCAGCCTGGCAATGGAATCGAAATCCTCGTGGAATTTCACCTACAACACAAAGTGTTTTATTGAGAAGCAGAAATCTGGAAGTTCTCTTACTTGTGCTACAGTAATACTTCATAGGACAACCAAGTTTCAATGTGGGTAATCTTTATTATTTTAAAATATAAGATTAAAACTTCATAGTGTCCTTTTTTTCTGTCATTTCCTTTTGTCGTGATGGTTGTTTAAATCAAAGGCATGATGACTAAAATAATTTTTATGTATTTACCAAACCACTTTTCACAGCAAGTTGCTGCTCACAGGGAAATTATACTAGAGAAAAAATATTCATGCAGAAGGGGTCCATGAAGGGCTTTGGGGGCGGTGAAGCCCATCATACTGCAAGCATATACTAATTTTTCAGAATGAAGGAAAAAAATCTTAAAATTTTATCTTTTCAGTGTTTCATAATCCACACATACCACAAAATGTAAAAAAGGTATGACTTGTCCGAAGCAACAATGTCCACAAGCATAAGATAACTAGCTTTGCTGTCCTCTGAGAATGAAGATGTCCAAATTAATTTGAGAGTTCTTTCCTATGTTGACACACTTCCCTGCTTGACTTCAAGGACATGGTGGTTTCCTTAACTGCCCTCTGTCCTCTAGGGAACTGAACTGACCGGACATTTTTATAACCATCTGCTTTTTATTTGTTTGCTTTTTTTTTTTTTTTTTTTTTGAGACAGGGTATCAATGTAGCCTAATCTTCTTGCCTCAACCTTCTTCCTGAATGAGTGCTGGGATCACAGGCTTGAGTCTCCCCTGGGCAACTTTGCTTTTCAGTGGGGGTAGAATAGCGGAAGGAGATGGCTAAGGATGTTTAGAGAGCTGGGATACCTCCATACTGTTTCAATAGTTTCTATAGACACTTTACAAATGATCTAACTGGTTCAGAAAAAGGTTTTCTCAAGGTTACAAAGCTGTATCAGCTTCAAACTAAAGATTACTAAGGTGAAGGATGGGAAATTGAAAGAAAAGAACAAGGCATAAAACAGAAAAATTCCAGAATGTAAGGCCATGGGCAAACAAATAGGCTGTGCATTTTTGAGGTGCTCTATCCTCTGAATTCTAGTGTTTACTGAAGAAGAAAAGCTTCAATCAACCAGCCACAACACCTAGTTCCTAATAGTTTGACACTTGGGTATTATGTCTACGGACATTCTAAGAACACAGCTGTATGTATGTCAGCTTTTAAGAAAATGACTACTAATAAATGAAGTCAGTTTAAAAAATCATATACTTTTAGGATGTATCAAATACTGCCTGCTTACCTGGATGGATAAAGCTGTGGAAATCTGCTATAATACCTTCCTGGAGGGAGTATTTAACACAGCCAATTTCACAAGGGAGGAAGCGCTGTTCACAATGAGGAGGTAGCTCACCATGGCTAAAAATGTTCAGAAAATAAAAAATGCCTCCAAGGAGAGCTGAAAAACAAAGCAAAACAAAAACTCAAGACTGTTAGCACTACTTTTGTACAGGTATATGTTCCCGTATTTCTTAGTGAATTATAAAAGAGAAAACTCAATTATACCAAGTAAAAATTTTACAATCACATTTATCAAGAATTTAAGAAGTAACCATTCTTTATATAAAGCAACAAAATTATTCAATCTTGCCTCTACATAATTCAGCTATAGAGTAGCGCTGAATTTCAGCAATGACATAATAAAAGTTGTGACATACATGATACAAATAGAAAGGCTTGGGAAATAAAGTTAAGCAGAACAAGTGAAGTAAAACTAGCTATGGAAAATTTAGTTCTCTGCTTTTATACTTTGAGAATATATAGAGGACCACCTGTAATACCAGAGAACTATGTGGGAGTAGTACTTCTACTGAAGACTAAAAAAGGTTTAGGTGAAAAGTTTGTGTTAAAGGCAGAACACAATAAAAGCAGCCAGGAGCAGCAGCAGCGGCCTTTATTAGCTAGTTCTCTTCTAGAGTAGTGCAATAATTCATCCTTGCTTCATGCCTGCCCACCCGAGGATATTGCAAAATTCTTTCTTTATTTTTTTTTTTGAGACTGGGTTTCTCTGTGTAGCCCTGGCTGTCCTGGAACTCACTCTGTAGACATGCTGGCCTCCAACTCAGTTATCCTCCTGCCTCTGTCTCCTGGGATTAAAGGCATGTGCCACCACACCTGGCCAAAATTTTTTATTTTTAATTGGCAGATAATAGTACATCTTCATGGGTTATCATGGGGATTCAATAAATTTATAAATTGTGAGATGATTAAATCAAACTGGTTAGCATATCTATCAATCTTCACTCTCTTATGCTTGTTCAAAATTTAAAATCTACTCTCTTACCAGGCTGTATAATAGGTCAAAAGCCTTATTCTTCCTACCTACCTCTATAACCTAAGTGTGGGAGCTACAAAGAAGAATTATGTTTAATAATGTATGAAGTGGCAGAAACCAAGAGAGACTGTTACAAAAAACTTTCCAATACTATTTCAACAAATGCAAATTAGTTCACCCTGCATAACACTAATGCTATAATATTTAAATCCTTATAGTCAATTATTTTGAAACATAAGATCAAAATGAATAAAACATATTTTGGGAGTGGGATGCACAGGTATGTCCTTGAGTGAGGTGGTCAAAGGTCAATCTCTAGTGTCATTTCATGTTTGTTTGAGGTAGGACTTGAGGCTTGCCCAGTTAGGCTAGGCTGGCTAGTCATCCTACCGTCCCCCCTCCCCAGCACCATCATGCCTCACTTTTTATATGGGTGCTGGTCCTCACGCTTGCACAGCAAATACTTTATTGACCAAGCCATCTTCCCCCACCATAAGACTTTTTTATTGCCCAATATGCCGTCCAAATTCAAGTATTTAGGAATACTCTACCTTGATCACTTTTTATAGACAAATTTGACATATCAGGAGGAGAAACACTTGGTTTTGGTACAAGCATGCCTGGTCTCCTCAGTGGCGTGGATACGAATTTCTGAAAGAGAATTGCCAATCAGATACTTTGAAACAGAGCTACGGCTGGATACTTCACTGCACATATTTACAAAGTAACTTCCAACGGCCTGTGGACGGCTTCTGCATTCTCACCATCAATGAAAACAAGTGTGTTTGTCAGTAACAGGAGCGTCCACAGCAGACAAGAGCCAGTCTGTAAGTAGGATGACCAAGAAGGCCAGTGGTAAATCAACAACTATAGTGGAGAGTCACCAGTGATCATCTCATTTCCCCGAGGCACTTACAACCAAATGCCAGGCTAGCGGTCAAAGGATTATTTTTGAAAGAAAATCAACCTAAACCTCCAATCCTGTAATATTGTTTGGTTTTCACTTAAAAGTAAAAACCAGAGCACAATGTGCCTCCAACTGTCACAACACACACACACACTATACTTAAGTTTTGAGGAGAAATTTTTTACAGTTATTTTTCTTTTCTTTTTTTATGTATACAGGTGTTTGCCTGCATATATGTGTGTGTGTGTGTGTGTGTGTGTGTGTGTGTGTGTGTGTGTGTGTCACATGTGTGCAGCACCAGTGGAGGCCAGAGGAGGGCATCAGAATCGCCTGGAACTGGAATTACAGATGATTGTGAGCCACCATGTGGGTGCTGGGACTCAAACCTGGGTCCTTTGTAAGAGTTAGCCAGTGCTCCTAATTACTGAGCCATTTCTAGCCCCTTGAGGAGAAATGTTTTGGAAGAGATTATAATGACAAGAAAAATCAAAGTTCACAAGCACAAAACACCACATATCTACCTGACTTAAGGTACCAACTTAAAACAAAAATCTACCATATTAAAAAAATAATAATTCACCAAACTTTTGAGTTTCAACCCAGTGCCAACAGCTGAAGAAGGAAACTTCGGTATGTACAGACAGAAGAGACCACCCCGAGGGAGAAGAAAAAGAACTCCATTAATTACCTTGTACTTTCTGCACAGAAATGAGCAGGAAAACAAGGTCTATTTAGTACTTCACTACACTTTCCTGTCCGTAGGATCTACAAATGTTAACCTGGGTCCTTCAAGTTTTGTTATTCCAATTATTTAAAGCACAGGAATGGGCTTGCTTCTAGGAATCGTTTCAAAATGAAACTCAACTATTTCTAAGCACGCCAAAGTGCTTTAAAAGGCGTCTCACCGTTAAGAACTGAAAGGGACTCTGGGAGGCTATTTAGTGTAAGCCTTCTAAGCACCATGTGACCTGGGGTTTCTGCACCGTCTGGAAGCTTCCCGACGGTTCTCGGGCTCCACCGTGGCTGGGAGCCCAGGGGCGGGCGGGCGAGCAGGACCGGGGCTCCCCTCCCTCACCTGCTTCTCTGAAGGCCCCGAATCCTTTCCCTGGGCTGCTCTCCATTCTCGAGCCATTTCTGAGTACTTCTCCTTCTCATCCTCCCTGAGGAGCTTGGGGAGAAGAGGGAGACGAGAGAGGGAGGCGGTGAGGCGTCCGTTCCACGCCCCGGTTCTGGAAGGTTCTGTCGGTTGGTCCGGCGCAGGGGAAGGGCCCCCCGGCCCGTCCCTTCCCTCCCTCCCTCCCTCCACGGACGGCCCGCAGCCCGGGTCCCCTCCGCGCCCTCCCCGCTGCCCAACTGCCCACAGCAGCCTCACCGCCCAGTCGGCCGAGCAGTAGGGGATGGCGTCCGCCACTCGGGCCACCGGCAGGCCTCGCCGGCGCAGTTCGGGAATCTTCTCCTGCACGAAGAAATAGTAGGCATTGCGGCTGGCCCTGCGGTTGGGCATGGCGTCGTCGGGCCTCGACGCCCTCCAGAGACACAGCAAGCAGCCGGCGCCCTCGCCGGGCTCCCGCCCTTAGTAACCGAGCTGGGCGCCTGCGCGCGCTCCTGCCCTGCGCCTGGCCAATCAGGGCGCAGCGCGCAGCCGCATTGGGCTCCCCCCCCCCCCCGTTGGTGGGGGGAGAAAAACAGCCTGAAACGGGAAGGTTCCACCTCGTGCGGGGGGCCGAGGGGGCGGGGAGGAGGGAGGAGTCGGGCGCAGGCGGGGAGCGTTGCGATTGGCTGGCTGGCATGCCTGGTAGGCGGGCGGTTGTCACGTGGAAGGCCTGGCGCCTTTTCTGTATATTGTTGCGTAATGTGTCCAGTTGGTAGGCGGAGGACTCGCGGGTGCTGTCGGTTCCCAAGTGTTTGACAGCCAGAAATAGCCAGTGTGTGCAAAGCACAGAGGGAAAACGTGGGCTCACTAGGGTGTTTTCAAGACGGCAACAACAAACCCAACATATTTGAAAACTTCTGTTATTTGTTAGCATTTGGGGAGCTGAGGATGGAACCAGAGCCTCCAACAAGCTAGGAGACCACTGAGCTATGTTCTCAACCCTTCCCTCAGTTTTCAAAGTGAAGTATACAATTAGTCATAAGAAAGAAACACAAGCTGGGCATGGCGGTGCACACCTTTAATCCCAGCACTTGGTGGCAGAGGCAGAGGCAGGTGGATCTCTGTGAGTTTGAGGCCAGCCTGATCTATAGAGCGAGTTCCAGGACAGAAAAACCCTGTTTCAAAAAAACAAAACAAAACAAAAACCCAACAAAACAACAACAACAAACAAAACCACAAGAGCTGAGATTTCAAATAATGTCCATAAATAAAGTTTTATAGGCTTTCTCATAAGGGCTGAGTAATTTCTTTTTCATCAATTTTATTACGATGTGGCATTTTGGGAGTTATTATGAAGTGTTTTTTTTTTCTCATCTTGTGTACCTAGTTACTGCTGAATCAAGGTTGAGCCTGTGTATTTAGTAATACTGAGTTCTCATACTGGTTCAAATTAGTGCTTGCTAATTCACTTGGGTTTTCTCCTATTTCCCAACGAAATTCCTTTGTCTATTCAGTTTACTAAGTCTGTGTATAAGTAGAGTATGGTTTTAAAAAAGGCAATTCAAAATTCATTTAAAAAATTGCATCTTTTCAGATAACCACATTTTATTATTTATTTGTTTGTTTGTTTGTTTATTTACTTTTACATCCTGTCAGCAGGCAATTTACCCTCTCTCCTCTCCTCCCAGTTCCTCCCTACCCCCCCCTTCTGTTTCTATTCAGAAAAGGGCAGGCCTCCCATGGATATCAACAAAACATGGTATATCAAGTTGCAGTACGACTAAGCACCTCCCCTCATATTAAGGCTGGACAAGGCAATCCAGTAGGAGGAAAAGGGCCCCCAAAGCTGGCAAAATAGTCAGAGACAGCCCCTGTTCCCACTGTTAGGAGTCCCACAAGAAGACCAAGCTACACAACTGTAACATATATGCAGAGGGACTAGTTTGATCCCATGCAGGCTCCCTGGTTGTCGGTTCAGTCTCTGTGAGCCCCTGTGAACCCAGGTTAATTGATTCTGTGGGTTTTCTTGTGTTGTTGACCCCTCTGGGCTCCTACAATTCTTCCCTCTCTCCAACAGGATTCCCTGAGCTCCTCCTAATGTTTGGCTGTGGGTCTCTGTGTCTGTTTTCATCAGTCAGTAGCTGGATGAAGCCTCTCTGATGACAACTGGGCTAGGCACTGATCTGTGAGTATAGCAGAATATCACTAAGCACCACTACATTGACTTTTTTTTTCCAGTTGTGTTTGGTTCTATCCTAGGTCTCTGAGCTGTCCAGCCTCTGGGTCCTGGCACTCCAGGCAGTGTCAGGGGGTGGGCTCACTCTTGTAGCATGGGTCTCAAGCTGGACCATTGATTGGCTAGGCACTCCCACATTTTCTGCACCACCTTTACCCCAGCACATCTTGTAGGCAGGACAGATTGTAGGTGGAGGTTATATGGCTGGGTTGGTGTTCTAATCCCTCCACTGGAAGTCTTGTCTGCTTATAGTAGATGGTCAGTTCAGGCTACATATCCCCTATTGCTGGGAGTCTTAGCTGAGGTCACTCTTGTAGATTCCAGGGAATTTCCCTTGCACTAGGTTTCTGCCTGATCTGGAAATCTCCCCCCTTTTCCAGTCTTCTCTTTCAGTACCCCCCCATGCTCCCCACCTGATCCCTAATGTTCCCATTCCCACTTGCCCCAGTCCATCCATGAGATCTCTTCTATTTCCCCTTCCCGGAGAGATCCAAGTGTTCCCCCTTGAGCCCTCTTGGCATGGTTATCCTTTACTTTACAGCTAATATCTACTTATAAGTGAGTATATACCATGATTGTCTTTCTGGGTCTGAGTTATCTCACCCAGGATGATTTTTCTAGTTCTATCCATTTGCCCTCGAATTTCATAATGTCATTGTTTTTTAACAGCTTTTTTATCTAAAAATTATGTAAAATTACTGTTTTTAACAGTATTTTTACATAATACTCTATTATGTAAATGTACCATATTTTCTTTATCCATTCATCAGTTGAGGGACATCTAGATTGTTTCTAGGTTCTGGCTATTATGAATAAAGATGCTATGAACATAGTTAAGCAAGTGTCCTTGTGATGTGTTTGAGTATGCTTTGGGTATATGTCTAAGAGTGGTATAGCTGGGTCTTGAGGTAGATCGAATCCCAATTTTCTGAGAAACTGCATGTTGATTTCCAAAGTACTTGTATTAGTTTGTACTCCCACCAGCAGTGGAAGAGTGTTCCCCTTGCTCCACATCCTTTCTGGCATGAGCTGTTGTTGGAGCCCACTAGGTTTCCTAGTGCTTGTACCCATCAGGACTGTATAAGAGGTTGATTGGAACATGGGCCTGGGTACCGGGTAACTGTAACTAGCAAGGGGGAGGCCTTTTGCTCCATCCCTTGGAATTGTTATAAATAGACCTTAGGAATAAAGTTCTGGGCTGGTGGATAAGGATCCAGACCCACCCGAGTCTATCCTGTGCTTTCTCTCTGTTTCTTTACTTTCTATTTCTAACTAAGTCTCTTACCCCTCAATCCTCAAGAGTTCCTGGGGTAAATAAATGTGAGGGCTATCACTTGTGTTTTTGATCTTAGCCATTCTGACAGGTGTAAGATGGAATCTCAGAGTTGTTTCCCTGATGGCTAAGGATCAGTGTTGAACATTTCTTTAAGTGTTCCTCACCATTTAAGATTCTTCTGTTGAGAATTCTCTGTTTAGATCTGCACTCCAGCTTTTAATTGCATCATTTGGTTTTTGATCTAGTTTCTTGAGTTCTTTATATATTTTTTGGAAATCAGCCCTTTGTCAGATGTAGAGTTGGTGAAGATCTTTTCCCATTCTGTAGGCTGCCATTTTGTCCTATTGATGATGTCCTTTGCCTTACAGAAGGTTTTCAGTTTCATGAGGTCTCATTTATTAATTGCCAATTTTAGTGTCTACACTATCAGTCCTCGGTTCAGGAAGTTGTTTCCTGTGCCAATACGGATAACCATATTCTTTATTGTTGCTAATAATGTTGCTAGATTCCCCTGGTATAGAGCCAGCCTAACATTTATAAGGACAAATACTTCTTGATCATGAGGCATTGCTGATACTTAAAAAAAGTTTTGCTTTCTTAGTAGATATGGAATTATTATTTTGTGGTGCTTGCTGTAGGGATCTGAGGAAGATCTGAGTGAGTGGTGTTCTGAAAGAATGTGCATTGTTGACATGGACAGGGTCACAGTCCCAAGATCTCCAACTGGTGAGAAACCAGCAAAGCTGTTAGGCAGTCTCAAGAGAAATGACACAGCTTTTGTGGAGAGTACCAGAATGAGTGTTTATGAATGCTGATCAGTGTGTGCAAAGATGAGCAACGACTGTGGCTTCCTCCTCCAGGATGTTTTCAGTGGAGATTGCTCATCTACGGAGACCTCCCATGGAGACTCCCTAACTCCTCCCTGTCTTCTGCATCTACACGTTGCTAAGATTCCAGGTTTCTGCAAGGGAAGAAAACTCACCTGATCCCAGCTTCACTGTACGTGTGTCTGTCCTTTCTTCATTCCTTCTTTGCCCCTACTTAGGAAGGGTTCCAGGACCCAAGCCATGCAGGACTGGGCAGCTTTCCTTACTAAATATTGGTATCAAGGTTATTATTGTTTCGTAAAATGAACACCCCTTTTCTCTTTTTAGAATTGAATAAGAGATAAGAACTACTGATTCTTTGGAAATTAGGTAGATTTTCTTATTTAAGCTCTGATACTGACAACCCTCAGAGGGCAGCAGGGGGCTGAACCTTGTCAGTATCTGGCATGGGTTGTCTTCAGTCATTTCTCCTAGAAACTATGTCACATTTGGGATTACAAGTATACTGGTATAAAATTTGATGAGGAGATGAGGCCACTGAAACTTTTCTAAATATTGATAAGACAACAGCTTGACTGGATCATCTCGTACTTAGCTGAGTGACTCAGCAAATTCACTCTTTCAAGAGGAGCGGACTTACACAAAGGCTTGTAGAGGAAATTTTATAACAGCTCTGTTCTTCAAAAGCCCCATGCTGAATAACTCAAAGTCATCAACAGTTGAATTGGTAAATTGTGGTGTATAATATGGTAGACTACTGGGAACTAAAAGGAAATGAGCTCGTCCTGACACTCAACATGAATTCTGTAATGTTACTGAGTGGAAAAAAGCATACATAAAAATGTGCATTTTCTGTGACACGATGGATACAACCCTTGAGAAAGGTAAGACCATACATAGTTAGAGAAATCAGATCAGCAGCAGCCTGAGGCTCAGAGGTAGGGGAAATAATGGAACTAACATAGAATACCTTGGAGGTGGCAAACTATTTTGTGCCTTGTAGTGTTAGTGGTGACAAGCGGGACATGTCAAAATTCATCAAATTGTATTTTGAGACGTATGCATTTTCAAA